GGTTTAGGGTTTAGGGTGGGTTTGGCGGGGCCTTCGTGCTGGCGGCATCTGGCTAGACCTGTATGATTCGAAGCATTGAGAATTGCCTGCAATCATCAAAGGACTCCGGCTCTTTTCGTGGGACCACTTGCCCACCAGTACATAGTAGCGCAGTACTGTAGTGATTCTTTAGCCACCGGAGCTTGACAGAATTTCTATAGCTGCTTTCATCGCCCCCCTCTCTTGGAATCTGCTTATTCCTGCAATGGTCTTGAAAACACCCTCTTACCCCAGGAGTGCCGACGTCGGAGTTTGCAAGGTCTCAGTAGTTTCTACCACACTGGCACAGAGCTGCGCAGGCATCCTCACCCCGACGGCCGGGAATGCACGAAGCAAGGACACCCAGACTCCAGACCTAGATCCTGGGATTCAGGGCCCCTAAACCCTAAACCCTAAACCCTAAACCCTGGCTTGGATTGCAGACTTGTTGAGTTGGTATCTAGTTGTGGCTGAGTGTGGTTGGATTCGAGGAGGGCTATGCACCTCGCCCCCCCCCTTCCGAGTGAATTCTGAACCGTAGCTGAAAACCGATACCCAGGCTCAGGGGAGCACCGCCTACGCGGAAGAGCCTGAGGTGACGATGCTTCCTGAGGACCGGATCAGCAGGCTTCGGAGCTGCAGACTGTAATTGGGGGCGGGGCTCCAGCTTCGACCCAAAACAGTCTCATAAGCTCTGCTACTGGCTATTGCCACTGTCACTTCTATAGGCTTTCAATCTGAAAGATCCTCGGGTTTTGCCAGAAGCATCGCAGCCTGAGGTTTCCACAAGAATCTCCCCCAACCTCCAGAAGTCGAGGCCGCCCCCCCCCCCCACGAATCTCCAGGACTACGAGGAGATCCTCGTGCCCGAGGCGTGCAGCCAGAAGTTGGTCTCGAGGTTTTGAGAAGCGACTGAGACTGGTCGGGATGTGCAAGCCTTCAAGCTGCTGTGTACTTCGACTAAAGTGCAGGGCGTTGGCTTGCGGAACCCTTTTCTGGAATGAGACTCCATATCGTGGTAATCCCTCGGCACCTTCTGCGGCCGCGCTCTGCGCGAAGCCCGAGCACCCTGCCTGCCGAGCCCTGCACATGCTCGTCTTCCATCCCCGGCTATCGACAGCAGCTTGGGTGAACTTGTCGAACACTCTGTTGACACGGTGTAGTCTTCTGACGGAAACCCTCTGCAACAATATAGCAGCTTGCACATCTAGCCGACACCGACGTGCAGGAGGCTGTGGTGCAGGCCCCCGGTGGAGCACTGTAACGAGAAGGTTGTAGGTGAAGTTTGCGACAGATTGCTTGTTATGTTATGGCTTGGGATAACTAGGGACTGAAGGCCTGAGGGGACAGGCCTGTGAAGTGACGTGAGTCCGGAATGCGAAAGTGTTTGGCAATAGTGTTCTTGTGACTGGTGCAGGCAGCAGCAACAGCTTCAGTGTGCCACGATTCTATTTCTCCTCCGAATACATATACATATATATATATATATATATAATTGTGAAAGCCATGCTCCGCTAGCAGAGGACCGGCGAGGATTCTGTGCTGGGCTCCCGCCACGACAGGGCGAGGCCCGAGGGGGCTTCTACGTACTTTGTGGGTCTCGTTGGCGTGACTTTCTGAAGCCTTGGAAGCCTCGTTCGCAGGGTCATTCGTGTCAGTTTGCGAGTTTGGGCCATTGAGGGTCTGTGGCCTTGCCAGCTTCGGAATTTATGACTTTGACTTAGGATGCAACCTTTGTCCGGTGGATTCTTTCACACGCCCAAAATTCAGAATCACAAACCCCAAAACGGTGAGGACAGCGCTAAATCGCGTGTGAGGCGATTAACAAAGCATCACCATTGCCATCGAACAGCGAGGCAACATGTCATGCTGGCATGGCATACGCAAAACAAAGATAAGAAACACGATAGTTGTATTGCATTTGTTGTTAAGGCTCTTGCATTCTTTGGTAGCCACATGGTGCAAGTTGAAAGCACGATGAAACGTTCTCAGAGCGTGGGATGAGTGCGAAAGCTTTTTTTGGGGGCTTCTGCGATGAGGGGCTTGTCGTTTGGGCCTGCCCTAAGCCCTAAACCCTAAACCCTTCCTCTAGAGACTCAATGCTCAGGTGCCACCGAGAATGCCTCCGGGAAACCCAACTCCGATCCAGCGACAAAGGTCACAACCGATTTGTCCGGACAGGGTTTTGAGGTTTATTGTTTTTTTCTCAAGGAGTTGTCCCCTCTAGTACGAGTGACGCAATCCATCCATGCCTCCGACTTGAACTGTCCATTGTCTTGTTCTATGCTCACTGCGGTTGCTCTTGCAGCTGAACTGGTTTACTTTCCAGGGTTCTGTTCTGGTAAGGCATGCTGGAGTTAACCTACTTCTTATCATGTGACAACCAGGTCTCTCAAGAAGCAGAGTCCTTACTGTTGCTTTGACGTGCGCATTCGATGGCTTCTCTTGATGTCAGAAGTCTTCGAAGCTTCGGAGTGGTCATCACGGAATTCCAGCCGGCAACCTAAACCGGAGCCTGGAATGCTATGTGAGGCCTACGCGCATGCCCGAAACTCCCTAATTATACCTACCAGCCTCAATCACCGAAGATGTCGTGATGCACAGCAGCACAGTGTGTCCTCCAGGTAGTCCTTCAGAGAAGATTCCCTTGTGTTCTTGTTATTGACAAGCCCTTTAAAAGTACGGTTTAGGGTTTAGGGTTTAAGGTTTAGGGTTTAGGGTTAAAAGTGCTTCTGATTCTATACACCGCAGCCCAAACACCCAAAACGACCCCCAAAGAGCCGACTCTACGAGCCCTTGACGGAGGCTCCACGTCTTTCAATCTCGATTGAAGCAGGCCTGGCATGGAGAGGGCTTTGGGGCTCAAGGAATTCCTGGGCCGTGGGCCCTGCAGATTCGGGCAAACCCTGCATCTGAAACTTCACGCGTGAGTTCAGATGTCCCCGACGCGTCGTAGAATTGCCACATGCCCCCCCTAGCTACGGACTGGCACTGGGTAGCGATTCGGGTGCCGAACTTCCCCTTCCGAAGGGTCGACCCTAAACCCTATAAACCCTAAACCCTAAACCCTAAACCCCTAAACCCTAAACGGCTCAAACTTGATCTGTAGGTCCAGTTCGAGGACGGCCGCAGGAGCTGAAGCCGTTGCTCCTTACCTATAGGGTCATACCCTACCCCTTTTTTTGGTTACCGCCTTTTCTATATAACAGATCCTAACCAGAAAACTAGGTACCTTAAAAAAGGGATAGGGTATGACCCTCTAGGTACTGTGTTTACGGATGCACGAAGAACCTGGGAAGTTAGCAGGTAGCTTGCGTCTGCCACAATTCAGGATCCAGCAGGAGCTCCCAAGCAAAGCCGATCTATCGAACCCCCACCCTCATCGAGCCTACATTGCTTTTTGTGCTTGGTTCCTTTCTGTTGGTTCCTGGTGAATTGGCGCACGGAATTCGGGAGCTGCAGCGGCTGTAGAATAGTAGAGTCCATAGATCCTCGGGCTTCGGAACATTTCGCCCGAGATGGTACCTCGGATCATGCAATTGCTACCCCAGCTTTCCTAGAATGTAGTACCTTACCACAGCCGACTGATGAGTTCAAACATTATAGTCATAGTCTCTATCTGCAGATGTATATACATGTATACATACATACATGCATACATACATACGTACATGTGGCTTGTTCTTTTTGGTGGGTTCTTTCGACAATACTAGGAAGGCGATTAGCAAAAACTCGGTCGAATAAAAAAGTGCACACCCTTTCGATCGTGCGCAAGCGCGCGCAAGGGCGAACGCAAACTATGCTCAAGGCTTGTTGTTAAGGTTGATTCAAGTTGATTCAAGAGTGATACTCAGCAGCGGTGTAGGTATATGCAACTACAGGACATGTTATATGCAACTACAGGACATGTTGCCTGAAGCATGAGTAGGTCGCTTTGTGGCAAACCCAGAAACATATATATATATATATATATATATATATATGATCCCGGTTCTCGGTTCACCGACCCCCCCCCCCTATATATGTGTATGTATATGTCTGTCACATATATATATATATGTGTATGTATATATATATATATATGCATTAACTTTCATGGGCTAAATGTATATATCGGGTTCTATCAGAACATAGTATGTTCGATTATTTTCCAATACCTTACATTGTTCTGTAGTATGTCATATCACATTGTATGATGATGATATGCTATTGCATTAGACTCTAGCCTGTTGATGTGTCTTGTATTGTGTTCTGTTATCTCATGAGATTTAGCATCGTACTATGCAATTCTGTATTATGCTAAGTTTTATACTCTACTATACGATGCTATAGTATAGTATACTACGCTATCGCTGTCTACAGCAAACACATAGTTTTATGACATGTTAGTAGTCGAATAGCCATGTCATACTATGTCATATGATAGTGTAGTATATTGCATTATACTGTATTCCACTGTATGATGCTGTAGTATCGCATAGTACTGTATAATTTAGTATAGTTTAGCACAGTATAGTATAGTTTAGTATGGTATAGTATAGTAAAGTACATTAAGTTAGAGGATGCTATCTTATGTTATGTTTCGTTAAACTGCTTTATGCTATATAACCCCTTATGTTACATTGTATGACGTTGTATTACATCACATATGACACTATCGGCAGTCTGAGAAACAACTGGTCCATTCCCTCGCAAGAGTACAAAACCACCTGAGGTGGCCCCGCAGTCACCTTCGAATCACGTACAATTCAGAGCATGACTGGGCAACCTAGGGTTCAAGACATCAAAGAGGCTGAGATGTGTAACCACATACCTAATATTATAGTACGATCACATTTTGACATATTCTATCATACCATACGATAGTATATTATAACATACCATGACGTAAGCAGAGACGGCGCTCAGCACTGCTCCGCGCAGCCTGATGCACCGGTCGAGGCTGTGCAGCTGCAGCTTTCGATATGCATTTTTTCTAGTGTCTACCTCGGGATGCAGGGGGGCATGTTGGAATTTGGGGGGCTATATGTAGGGTTCGAGGCACTTCGAAGGGGGGGAAGAAGACCTCAGCCGATTCTTCCGGTGTTCAGCGTCGAGATGCCTTCCAGACATCTGGGAGTTTCTGTACAGGCTATGCCGTCGACCTTTCGAAGGCTGTTCCTTACAAGTACGAAGTTGGCCTCGGTCAGCCGGAGACAGATCTGTCGGAGAAAGTGCTTGAGATAGGCTAGGCTGTGAGACGGTGTCCATACCGCCCAAAGACGGATCACCAATCCGTATTCGCCACACTCCGAAGTCAGCCTGAAGGAAAAGCACAAAGCCCTGAACTCCTCCAGTTCAAGAGAGTTGCCACAACTGGCTCAATTCCTTATGACATAAAACTGCAGCAGGTGCATGGCTGGTATAAATTCAAGATTCAAGACATGTTCAGAACAGGAAGTTGCGATCAACCCGATGCTCAGAAACTGCTGAAGACGCCCAATCACCTCCGGTCACGCCCTCCTTGCAAATCGTCGCCTTGCGCATGGACCGGCGACCCGGGAAGATGCAGAACTTCCCAGATTGCTGATTGCCTGGGTCCGCCTCTCGGCCTTGCAGGAAGGATGATAGATCCCCATGGTTGTTGAAAATTCATTTGCATGACCTATAGTCTAAGGTATATGCATGGGTACATGTACAAGCACATGTATATGTGTGTAAGTAGGCAGGCAGGACGTGGGTAGGCAGAAATTTGCATGTATTTTGCTGTATGTTCATTGGTAGATTGGTTGGTTTGTCTTTGGGTGCATATTCCCAGCCAGGTGTGCAAACGCAGTTGCTTCTGCGAAACAGATTCATGTGATATGTGTCCAGAGAGTGTAAAGAGTCTAGACTCCAGAGAGAGGGAGGGAGGGAGCTCTCTCTCTCTCTCTCTGTCTCTCTCCTGCACACATCCACATGTGTGCGTCCTGATGGGTTCAGTTGCGCGGGTGCCGTCACGCACCAGCTGATCTTTGCCAAGGGCGGTTGTTGCGTCGAAGACACCATCCTGCGCGGGCAGTTCACATTGTCGCATCATTGTCCAGTGAGTGGTCACCGGTGTCGCCACTGATTTGGTTGTCGAGCCTATCAGTACGTGCCCTTTGCATTTCACCACACGCGCATTGGTCGTGCATCATTGCTTTTTTTTGTTTGTTTGGACATGTTTGCGAATTTGTTTTCGTGTGCTGCTTCGCTTCCAGCGCTTTTCATTTCCGGGTCTGACCAGTTGCAGTTCCAGGGGGCATGGTCCTTCGTTTGTTTTCCTTGCTCTTGGCAGGTTTCAACAGATGCCAACTGTGCTGGCGGTATGGCTCCCTGGCTCCAGCTAGTTTTGCTTTTCTTGGCTGTCAGGTCTTTACCTTACCAACAACAGCAAGACAACTCGCGGGACCCTGTGTTTGTCGGCTTCTGTATGAAGGTCCAGACCGAACAGCCGTGCGGCCTCTCAGAAATCTCCCCGTGTTTCTTGCCTTTCCGGCATGTCCCATGCGTAATATAGGGGCCTACATCATTACCAATGCTATTTTTGGGGACTCCTTAGTATACTTATAGTATACTGAACCCCAAAAACTATATAGTCTAATGATGAAGGCCGCCGTTGAAATTCATGGCCGTGGAAGTTTTTTCTGAAGATTTAGGGTTTAGGGTTTAGGGGCATCTGTGATTCGTCGGCCTCTTGGACAAAGCCTCTGAGAGAATCCGCCTGGCCCTTGGGGCTGGTACCTATACTCTGCGAAGTCGTGCTTCCAGCTCCCTAACTGACCGAGACCCCGACGTAACAACATCACAGATCGTGTATGCTAGGCTGAGCACGCCGGAATTACACGCATGTCAGGAAACTTGCCTACAAAGCTCTGTCCGGAACAACAACGCGATAGCCGGGAAGATGCGACAAAAGATCACGCCCGCAACTGAACCCAAGGGAATATAGATGCATAACCCTCACACACTCAGACAACAGAGAGAGCTACGCACAGACACACACCCACACAGACAGATTTGTTTGCTTAACAATGGACTCCCACCTTGATGTGATTGGTTCTCCATACTTCTCGCTTTGTCCTTCCTTTGCACTCCAAGCTCCCCACAGCCGAGGGGCCGATGCAGAGACCGCGGATGTCAAAAAACTGCCAGAGACCCAGCTGCCCAGCTGTTGCTACATGGAGCATCAACGGACAGGCGACGTTTTGGGGCTTCGGTTTCAGAGCGCATGATTCCAAGCTTTCACGGAGACTGAGGCGCAAAAATAGTCAGGCTCCATCTCAAGACCGAAATCATTGTACATCACTCAGACACACCAAGTTGTCCACGAATTTCATCCTACACTGGGGTCGCACGTTGTTGGCTTGACGCAGCTGTTTGCAAGCGTCACTTCGAAAAAAAGGCGTCTTTGCAGGTTGTTCCATCTGACAATGTTCTATACATCGAAGAGCATTATTTCAGTCTCGGGGCGGGGCGAGTCCCGATTAGGCTGTTGCCGGTCATGGAGCCTCTTGATCCGGGCCGACTGGGTTTCGGCCTGGTGGCTTTGGACCTGGAGTGCATCCATGACCACATCCATGGCAGCTATGCTGCCATGAACTGGCATGAGACAAGGGACCAGTCCGCTTGGAAAGCTCGAAGTCAGATCATCGAGCTGGCTGCGGTAAACCTGGCAACCGGCGAGTCGCTGCTTCTGCGCAGCCGACCTGAGTTCAGTTGGAACGACGTGAAATCCGCAGCTACAAGGCTCTTTGCTGAGCATAGCGGCCACAAGGCTATCGTCTGCGATGCATCGCTGCCGCTCTTCGCGCAGTTGTGGCCGACACAAGTGGTGCCCTTCCTGCAGCGGGCTGCGGGCGTGACCGGCAAAGTGGTGCTCATCGCGCACAACGGCGATCGCTTTGATCACTATGTGCTTAGCAAGGAGATCTCCAGGCTGGGTCTTGACATGGGCCGGTGCCCACGACTGGTCTCTGCAGACACGGTTGCCACACTGAAGCCCGGCCAGTTTGTTTAAAGTAGGATCGCTCCTCGCTGCACCACATAGCTAGAACATGTTATGTGTGTGTGTGTGCATAGTGCTCGCAAGCCGTGCACCGTAGTGGATGCAATAAATATATTCAATAATGGTGTACGCCTGCATGCATGCCGAATTCTTATTGTGCTTGTTTGCTGGGGTTCGTCTGTAATCCGCATACAAATCTTCGAAATCTGCACATGTCTAAGTAAGTAAGCAAGCTAGCAAGCATCAGTCAGTCAGTCAATCAGGCACACAAGCAGGCAGTCCAGGCAGGCAGCTGGGTGGGTTGGTAGGTAGGCAGGCAGCTAGCCAGACAGATAAAACGATAGATAGATGAGACATTGCATGCGCAGGCATGTGCAAACATAGCTTTCAGCGTGTTCTGTGTGGATCTCTCCCGAGCCCTGCATTCGCATCAGTGCACCTCTGGTGATGCCGCGAGATCTGCCACACTATGGTAAGTGAACCAGCTGACTATAGCGGTCAGAGCAGTAGGCCGTGATGTTTATGCAGTGCGGGTCGGGCTTCTGGCTTCCGAACGAAGTTTCTCTAAGGTGTGTGAACCCTCCTTGGTCAGCACCTTGCATTGAGTTGCTTTGAACTCCGCTTGCTCTTCCAGACCTCAACTCAGGAAGAGGAGACTTGGCTACGGCCACGTGCAGCAACTCTATGGTCAGCCTGGATCTCTCGCCCTGCAGCAATTGTACATGACTTTCGTACCAGAAAAGCAGCGAGCTGCCGGCCTACAACAACATCAGGCTCTTGACGACGTCCGGATGATGTGCGACGTCATCGCTTTCGCGCCGTACTTGGCGCCATTGCTCGCGCAGGACATCGTGATGGCTGCCCATGGTGCTGAGATCCCAGCAATCACACATGCTGTTTGGCAGCGCTTGCTTTATCCGGTGCCATGCAAGCCTGCCACCTCCCAGACAGCCTGCTTCTCACAC